AGAACAAAATCAAAATTGAATGTTCTCTTAGTCTAGAATAATTATTAGGAGTGATAAAGTTTATTATAGTGATTCAATAAGAATATTTGCAAGATTTTCTTCAATCGCTTATTCTGGAGAGTTGTGTTTTTGCTAAAAATGGCCCTGTTCTCGTAAGATTCCAGAAGAACCGTTTGAACTTCAAGGTCCAGGTTGCAGGGACTCGTTCAGCACATGTTTGGGTATAGCCGCTACTACAGGGAGGATGTTTGGACCTCTGTAGGTCTTTCTGTAAGCCGACTACCACAAAAATTGTGAAAAAATGGATAAATAATTATTAAAAAAGTTGTTTTAATGAATAAAAATATAGTTAAATCTAATTAACAATCTTGCCTGTAGTAGCGGCTATAAAAATGGCTTTGACAAACAAAATAAAATGACCTTGGGGTCTCAAAATTAATTTTACCGCTTGGAATTCTACGGGCCAGGAGGGTATGATTAATTTTGGGAATTCTGACTTGCCTAGTACATCTAGGCTGTATTCAAGTTAATTTGGGGTATGTAAGGGTGATTTCTGGTTGAAAAAAGGGTTGAAAAAGAGGAGAATTTTTCCATTTCACCAGATTTAATTTTTACTTATATTTTCATGTATTTTAAAATTATGTGATTTTAAGGTATATATAAGCCCTTAATTATTATAATTTATGATTCCGGTGGGTATAAATCAATTAAATAATGTACACAAAACTTTTTCACTTGGCCAAAAACAATTATGTTTACTCACTGTGCTGTGTTGTATGTAAGATTTTGAAGCTTCATCAACCGTTGCCTTCTACTTAAGTCCTCCTTTGGCCCTGGATTTTCCTACTTGATGTACGCCAAGCAAATAAGGAATCAAAAGAAGATTCAAGTAATTTTGGGCTACTGTAAATTAAATTTTATCGTCAAGTTGTTGAGCACAAAACACAAATTTATACATGAAACTAAACAGCAGAACACACGCGCACACGCAACTTACAGCTGTTATTAACCGAACACTGCGGTGTATAGCTGGTATATATGTGTGTGTGTGTGTATTCATTCAGCGCCGCACTGTTTTTGGACTTGCGCGAGTCGAGTAAGTTGTGAAACTCATACCGTGCATCTCAAATTCAATTGGAATTTTACTCTACTCAAATGAATACTTAAATTTTGCAATTACTTACAAGGATAGGTCTCTTCTTTGTAATTGTTTAGAATTTCCTTGATCTAACTTTTGTTGTTAGCTTTTCCTTCAGCGATGGATATAATTTTATGCGAGCAATTACTAATTTTTGAATAAAGATCAGGCAAAGTTGGATCGTCACTATCGTATTCGTTGATCATCTGAAACAATATAAAAAAATGTATTTGCAAAATTTATAATTAATTTATGAATAAAATATGACAAAGTAAAGCAGGGATTTCTTAAAAAATGTAGTTTAAAGTATGCTCTGCGAAGAACGCTTTTCGTGGTATAGACAATTCCTTCAACTTTGACGGAATTCATCGTTAACCACTACTTTTGTTTTTATTTCTTTCAAACAACCTAAAACATTAAGTTTATAAAAAATGTGTTCTATCAATACTTACTTTTAGCAAAAATTAAATAAAAAAAGTACCTTCGATAATGTCAGGCTTAGTTTTGTATGTTACACAACGCGTTCCGTAAAACTTTCCCCATTTTGTTCGAAGAGATCTGTGCATGTTTGGTAAGATTACCTTAGCTTCTTTGCTCTCAGTGGAAGACGAATAATATCTAATTTGTCTTTCATCAGGACAAATTACACAAATTTCTTTTGCTAAAAATTCGAGCCTTTCTTGGTCGACTTTAAGTCTAAAAACGTGATTTGTTAGTATACACATGTCCCTCTACTATTTAAAATTTAAATAAAGAAATTTTAATTACGTACGAATAATGCGCGCTATTTTTGATAAATTCTTCTTGGATCAGCAGTTTCGCCATGAGGTACGGGTTGAATACATTTTACTTTACCCGAGAAACTGCAGAAATTTCTTCTTCTTCTTCTTCTTCTTCTTCTTCTCCTTCTTCTTTTTGATCATTAGCGCTATCTTGATTTTCTGCAACCGATCGATCTTCTTCTCTGGATTTTTGTGTTTGGTTGTTTTGGACGTATGCGAGCAACATCTCGCACCCATCAAAAGTTTTGAGCAAAACTTGATAAACGTAATTATTTTTTACGCTATAGAAATTTGTATCATTTATGAAAACGTGCAGGAAGCCTATAAAAAGGAAAGAATTCAATAAATCACCGATTATGATATAACTAAAAAGAGTAGAAAAATCGTGTTAATACTTACTTAATTTATTGGACACTTTAATTGTCGTGTTGTTTTGTATTAAATTATCCGTGTCAAGAGTAGCCATGGAATGCGTTTATTCTATGTAATGGTCTTGACTGGTGGTGCAACGGTTGTTTGATATGTCCATCAACGTTCCACGATCATTATTAAACGATCCAGCTTGTGCAGGTAATTTAGCGTTTGAGACATTATACACAAAATGCGGATTCTGCGGATAATTCGGAAAACCAACACCGGGCAAAAATCCATTGGAGAAATTGTTGTACATATTCTGAATGAAGTATGACGCACAACATATAATTATAATGCACATTAAACTAAACCTACTGACTACAATCGTGTAAGACAATCAAATAAGTGTACTTACGCTTATATTCTTAAAATAACACGTGCTTAGTCGATTGTGCCAACTGACGTTTGCATACACACTGTGTATTCACCTCACTGGCTATAGATTAGGGTGTACCCCTAATTACGATAATTAGCTAACGATATTTCTTTCGGTGTAGGAATTGATGAAGTCGCGCTCGGTCTCTTACCAACGTTTTGTCTGTCTCTTTCTCGCATTAGGCAGACAACCGCTCGCACTATTCGAAATCAATGATTTTGTTTAATTACTCATTAGTTAGTTCGTTAAGGGGTAATTTTTAACGTACCAATCGAAAGCTTGGAATTTTCTCTTTCAGAAAATATATTTTTATTAAGATGGTTGATCTTTTAAATTAGTTGTAAACAATAAAAAACCGCGTCCCATAAGAGCCCGTGTTAAAATCGCCATTTTTAAACTTGTTTATCTCGAAAGTTTGATCGTCAACCACATGTTTTTTTTGGAATCTTATTTTGAAGATCTAACAAATCGATTGATATAATTTTTATCCTGTTGGATGATCTTTTGTGTTATGTGTACAGTCTTCTTAAGGCGCAACTTAGAATTGCGAAGCGACAATATCTTAAGGAAAGCGGGCAAAGGAAGAGTTAGTGACTATCACTTACCCAGCGTCTTGCGCCTCTGGTTTGACCAGAGTCGGTCACTTTGGCTGACGCATACGGGAACTATGTCAGAGGTTTTGGCCTCAGAAATCGGAAGATTTGGTACAGTTACGTAGAGGACGGGCATACTGTCGCTAAATACGACATTCCTCCTGGATATAAATGACCAGATGCCTCGAAGAACTTCCAGCCATTTTAGCAACAAGCTGCTGGCTTTTCAGGCTGTAGCTGCGGATTTTTCCAGGCTACTTGTCGACCTCACCTATGGTGAAGATGTGTCGTTGGATTACTCGAGAGGAAGGGCCTAGCCGGGTAAGATGGTCAAAATTGTCCCCAACCAAATTTTTTTTTTTTTTTATAACTCCTTCATTTTTTTACAATCTGTCTGAGCGCGAGACATTTAGTAAAATTTATAAAAATAAAATAAAACAAATTAGCTCGTGTAAGTAACAATCCTTTGACAGTCACTAGTGTACAATGCATCTGATTTTAGTTACAGATGGTTTTAAAATACAGGTGTTTCTAGAGGTAGTTGTGTTTTTTTAGTCTTGAATCGCTAAAAGAAACTTCCCCAAGCTTTACCGCCAGCGGTTTAGGATGGATTGTAAGCCGCTCTTTGTATCTTCTTGAGAGTCTCTGAATTTCCTCGACAGTTGTTGAAATGTCCAGGTCTTTTCTGATGGATCCCCAACCAAATTAAAATAAAAAAATACCTACATATAGTACATGTGAAAATATACCTTTGGGTGAATTTTATGACCTCTAGGGCCTTACATAACCTCGAAAAAAAATGCAAATGTAATTTTCAGTTTTTTGAATATATTTCTTGCTATCTGCAGTTTTGAGGGTTCAATTTTTGGTCAAATTTAAGTATTTCAAAGGGCCACAACTTGATATATTTTTCAAAATTTTTGATGTGAAATTCAAATCTGTACATTTTTGAAATTTAAAAAAACAAATAGAAATTAGACGTTATCGTAAAGAATATCTTTTGTTAAAAATCATCTAAAAATTTTTTTAATCCTTTTTCGAAATTTTTTTTTTCACGTGTAACTTTCATCGAATATTTTTTGAAAACTTATCTTCTTATCGCTTATATCAGTGTAATTTCATAAACTTCATACGATTCCCTTTAATTTGATGTAAATAACACATAATCAATAGTGTCTCTAACTATTTTTAATTTGATTGTGAAAAGTGTCCGCTTTATCGTGGACATACAATAGTGCTATTTTTTTGCCGCGTATTGATGGCATGCCGTCGTTAGATGCTGGGTGGCGTGCTGCCACTGCTGCGTCTTGGCAGCGCTACTTCTCTCCTTCCTCACACTCATAGGTGAGGGAGACGCAAAAACTTGAATCCATATTCATATAATCTATGATTTAGGGAAGCGTGAGGTACAGTGATTGCTCCTTTTTCCTCGCTAGCCACTTTTCGTCGCGTGCATGGGTGTCAGTTGCAGTAAATTACGTTGCAGTATACATGAATTGATTTTGTATATTTTATCAAAAGATTAATAAAATAATAAATAACTTTAGAGTAAATATAATTTCATTATGAACAATTGTTTTTTATTAAAAACATTTTTTTATAAAAATTTTTATATTTTGCCAGGCTTTACTTCTCAAAATAAGTTTCTTATGAGAATGAAGAATTTATTCATGTGTTATTCCCTTAACGTTTTTCAGAAAATGCACGTCTACAAAAAAACTCTACAAGCTATGATATATCCTATTTCATCAACCACACCCCATAATTTTATAACATGGACAGCTACATCGCCAACTTATTGTTATGAATGTGAAGGATTACTTTGGGGAATAGCTCGACAAGGAGTTCGTTGCATTGAATGTGGAGTGAAATGTCATGAAAAATGCAAAGATCTACTCAATGCCGATTGCTTACAACGTAAGATATTTATTGAAAATGTCATTTTCAAATATTTTTCTTGTTTTTTTTTAGTCAAAATACAGTAATACGGTAAAAAAAATTCATAATGATTTTATGAGAAGAAATAAATTGGGAAAAAATTAGAAATCTATAAGAAAAGTGTTAGTTTTGCAAAATCTTTATTCAGAAAAGACGTAGAATAGTATATCTTTCAGAGTGCAGTTAAAAAAACAATTGTCTGCACCAGTTCAAAATAGTAAATTCTGATATCAGCGTCCCCATGGCCTCAGTGTCACGTCAGGAGACGGGAACTCTTGTAACCTTTTGGGTACAATGGTCTTATTTATTTTTTAGTACTAAGACGAATTTTCTGGTATAATCACATAATCTACAATATCATAAGTACTAATGAGAAATGAAGGTCACTTTCCGCGAGGCGAAATGGTTACCCATTGATCGCCTCGGGACAGTGATATCATTAGAAGTTTGATATCTTTAATTATATGCAATTATTTCGAAGGCAAAGTAAAAGAAAGCTAGAAACAAGCATTTTTAATTAAATTAGATACATTAGAATTTATGACTGACATTTCTTTTGGCTGGAGGCGTCGTGACACAGAGGCAATGGGCACAGAAACACAGGATACAGAGACAAGATCCGCACTGGTCGGAGTCACGCACAAGATTGATTGAAATTTCGGTACAATATCATTGATCTGTAATTTTATATTAGAAGCGGTTTCAGTGTCTTGACAAATTATGGAAACTCTGTTTGTATGAGACTCGCATCTTTGTCTCCACCTCGGTGTTGCGAGTCGCCTGAAACCTATCTATCGACACATATGTTCTTACTGGAATTTTGATCTTCCAGATAGTTCGATTTCTTCATTTAATAATACTGTGTATGTTATATTTTAGATTATAGAGGAAAAAAGAAGATTGATATAAACATCGGATATTAAACTAAACATTATTGTCTGTTATACACAAAAAGATTATTGTATTGTTAGCTAGCTATTTATTCTTTACTGCATCTTTGACGAATTTTAAGTGCGGAAAAAGCTCTGGGTTGTTTGTTTATTAGACTGACAATAAAAAAAATTTTTTCTTCTTAATTGACGGAACACCCCCTCAAAAGTTTCAAACACCCAAAAAAATGAGCTCTACCAAATTTCAGTCCATATGATTGAAAAAAACGCGTGCCCCAAGACGGGTGTTGATTAACATTAAATTAAATGGAAGGGGTTTCCATTTAACCACTTTATGCGTATAATCCGAGATTATTCTACCCCGTATGCGCATAATACGAGGTAACGACTTTTACATTTAATTTAATGTTAATCAACACCCGTCTTGTGGCACGGGTTTTTTTTTCAAACATATGGGCTGAAATCTGGTAGAGCTCATTTTTTGTGGGTTTGAAACTTTTGAGGGGGCGACCCGTCGATATAAAAAAAAATTTTTTTTATTGCTAGTCTATTGTTTATACGTAAAAATAAAATTATTTTTAAGGTTGCAATTATTGAAGTTACTAATACGTAAATAATATTACAAAAACTGTTGTTCAAAGTAAAATAAGAATCAATTCAAGTGCGAGTATTGGATCTTCGGCAGTTGCACCTGGAGTCATAAAGTTTATTTTTATTTTGACAGACCAGTACACGTTATCGTTTTTCTGTGGTTATTGGATATTTGATTTGGAATTTTAATTGCATTTTTAGAGGTGATATCGTACTCAGACCACATGTTTATTATCCTCGAAGTTTACTACTAATATTCGCATTTCTATAAATTTTAATGTTTTTGTATGATTCACTTGATTTTTTTATCTTTTTGTAACCAATCGTAAATTTAACCATAAACTCTAAAAATGCATTTGAATCTACATCAAAATATGTGTTCTAAAAGTTACTCTCAAACAAAAACCGAGCATTAAAAATTAAAAAGTTCAAAAATCTGTGAGCTTTAAGCTCTTTAAGTGCTTAGGCAGTGCAGGTCTTCTAAATACGAAAATATTTTTTTTTAATTTACAACACTTTTTTAAAATGTTTGAATTCAATCATAATTAGATAAAAATATATTAATTCAAAGGTGCCGCTGAAAAAAGTTCAAAACATGGAGCAGAAGATAAAGCTAACAGCATCATAACTGCCATGAAAGAAAGAATGAAACAAAGAGAGAAAGAAAAACCAGAAATATTTGAACTTATTAGGTAACTTTTTTAATGTAATTTTACCATTTATTACTAAAAGAAACCAAATAAGCGAGCCTTTCATCTCCTGATAACAGATCCTTATCAAACTTTATTCAGGGTCTTTCAGTACAAAACAATGAAACCCCTGCCAGCTTAATCCCATAGACCCTAACAAAAATTATAAAGCGTAATGATTCCTTTACATACTACTGTTGACATTGAATGATCGCATGGGATTATCATTGCACTTATCACTGTATGTAATTGTAAATTGAATAATAGTTACTCTGAATTTTAACAATTATATTAATTAATTATTTTATTACATAATTCTATCACAAACTTTGCATTATCGTTATTGTTTAAGAAATAAAAATATTACATCTGCGTGAGTACTTGCCTTAATATGTTTGATTTTATTACTATCATAGCTAAGTAATTAATTAATGGTGGATTGAGATTAAGAGTTTCAACAATTTGAAAAACAGAATAATTTTAAATTTAGACTCAAATCAAAAGATCAGACTGTCATACTTGCCCCTATTTAAACTTTTGAAAAAAGTATTACCACGGTTTTGAATTAATCTATTGTAAACATTTCAGTAGGCTATTAGTTTGAAACAAAAAATACATAATTTGTTCAATACTTGACAAATTTTATTTGATATCAATAATATCATAGCCAAGAAATTTATTATCATTTACGATTTGAGATTACCAATTGAATAGGTTAGGAACATAACTTAACGTAAAAATATGAGAATAAAACAGATATACTTGCTCATGAATGTTGTTTTAAAAAAAAAACGTTATGGGATTTCAGATTATTCCGGATTTAATTATGCTGAGCAAAGCGAAGTCATTCTTGCATGAACTCCCGTGATTTTGCAAGGGTTTTTTGTATAGACACGGTACAATGAGTACTGCTGGATCGATCTTTTTGAAAATTTAGGAAGTTGATAAGGGAAGCTAGACAAATATCTGATGACATTCATAATCTCGATGCTCAACCCTTTATGCACTTTTATGCATTTTAAATGCATTTTTTCAAAATTATGGAAATTTGCTTAAATTTGATGGGATTTTTTCGATTAATCTGTCGGGGACCTTAAATATGATTGTCGTTGCATTGTTTTATTTGTTTGTGCATTAAAATGCACTTTTATGCACGTTATATGCATTTTTTTGAAATTGTTGTAATTCAAAATCACGGCTTCCTGCAGAAGTGTCGTATATAAGTCTAAAGCAAGGTCATGCACGCGACTATTCGGCTCCTTCTATACAGCAAACCTCGACTTTCCACGTCAATTTTCAGGAATTGACCCATCGTGATAGATGACATGATCGGTCGGCGCTGTACTGACGAGATGAAGGGACAGCTGCTCCAGCTGTTTGTTCAAGCGGCCAACGTGTTGATCGTTTGCCTTATTTACGTGAATAGTAAAACTGCCGGTTACAATCACACTGTCGTATGTGTTGGAGAGATTCCTGTGTTTGAGAATATTGAAATTGCAAGAGAACTGTTTGATATTTCTGGAGCCTATTTTTAGATTTTTGTTGAGAATATGTTACTTTCACTCGTCATAACTGCTGTATAAGCGTATAAGCGATAAGCAAACTGCTGTATAAGCGATGTACGCTACAGTGAGTAAGTGGGGATGGCATACTCATAGACATCTCTCTTACAAAAGTGTTCGGAGTGTGTCGAGCAGAGATTAACACAGCAGCGGCAAATGCACGCATGCTTGTACTGCTCTGTAGTAAATACTTGTCTTTATTTATTAAATTTATTATATTGAAAACGGAGTATTTGTGTTTAATCATCTTTTCCTAACATGGTAGAGATCCGTGGTTAATTTGTTTTTCTATACTTCCTATATTTTCTTTTTGAGAAGCATAGGAGGGTATCTCGTTTGTGGAAGAAACGGTTAATGATGGCTATTAAATTGAAAAAGAGTGATGTAACTGTCGAAAGAGTCAAAACAGATAAAGATGTTTTGGACGCTGCTCCCGACTGTTTGCTGCAATGTCGGGTCCGACTTGAGAGTTCGCAGGATGTTGGCATAGGTAGACGCATCCTTCATCTGATAACGATTGTGTCTGGTTGATGGTGAGCTCCACGTGGCGTTGGCCGTGGTTTCGGCTGTTACCGGGAGTGGCAGATCCAGATATTGTTGCCGTCTGATTACGCTGGCGGTGACGACGATGGTCGACGAGTACAAATCCGTCTTGGTCTCCGACATCGTTGTCGCCAAGCTGCTTGGATGCGGCTGTCACGGCGTGGCACTTGGGTGTTGCACGAGTCGCCGGCGGTAACGATGCAGGCAGCTTACCAGTTGCATTGACCGAGAACATTGGGGAGGTGCAGACCGCCTTCTCAGCAGAGGGAGGTCGGGACGGCACTTGCTTCTGCTTTGTCTTTTTGAGCGCTAAGATGGCCTGTTCTAGACTTAGCGAGTACTTGATCACCTCCTTGTGGAGGTTATTTCTGCCGAAAATGAACGCGTTAAGGCCTTCCACAAAATCTTCGATACGAATCATTTTCTCTTCGTAACTTCCGGTCGCAAACTCTGCGGGGGTCGAGAGCGGGGCATCTTTTGCTAGCAGAGGGGCGCCGATAATTCTTCGTGTCATGGATGTCACAATGTCACCGTGGAGGGAGTCATCGTCTTCGTCGGCATCGACGGCAGCGAGCCACTCTCCAGCTAGCTTGTCATTCCGACATCGTCCATCGACTTAGGCGCCTGCTGATCCCGCTGCCTGTCGCACACAGCTGCCGATTCACCGCAAGCCCACACGATAGCACAGAGCACCAGCACAGCGGCACGAAGCACGCACTCACACTAACACGCGTGGCTCACACCGATGGTAACAAGCGCGGGAAACACTGTGGTAATGTCACTAGGAACTGGCACACGATGCAAGATAGCCACATGTCTGAATGTTTTTTTTTCCTACTCCACCCCATTCGGTCACTCACCGGTAACCACCGCTAGGCATTGCTTCGGTGAGGCCTGGGTTATTTCAGCATTTCTACTACTTCTATGTTAGTCGATGGTTTCCATACATCCCCCATCCGTCACATAGTGATATGCGATGATTAGGAGTTCAGGAACTCATCCTTTTTGTACTTGGTGAACCTCCGATCCTGCGCGATGCCATCTCTCGATTGTCGTATCCCCTTTTTTCAGAGCCGTCTACTGCGTGGTCATACATTGCTGGCATCTCCTCCTGAGTTAGATATTTTTAGAACTCGCTGTCTAGAGCCATCTTGTGAGTGTGGTTCTCGCTTCTGCTGCCGATGGCAAGTGGCCCATTTGCTCTGTCAGCTACATCTTGTGAGTGTGGTTCTCGCTTCCGGCGCTACCCTGTGAGTCTCCGTGAGTTTTTGATATTCCTTTTCTGTTGTCGTCTTGACAGTGTGGTTCTCGCTTCAGGCGCTATCATGCATCCCGGAAGAGCCTTGGCTCCCGCATCCGGCGCCCTCTTGTGAGTGTGGTTCTTGCTTCTGACTTCATCATGGGAGTGTTGTGCTCCATCTATTGCCAGCTTTGTGAGTCCTCGCCTCAAGCTCCTACTTATGGTTATCCTTTTCGCTTCCAGCTCGCACAGTGATCGGGGTTTTTTTACCGATTCGGAGGCTGATGACGTAGCCCGGGTCTTCTTTTTGAGTGGTACCCGCTCCACTTCGGGCAAGGGCTCGACTACACCAGGCGAAAAAATGAACCTCGAAAATTCGCCCGGTGGGGATTGAACCCACGCCCTATGGCACATCCTTGTATCAGCAGGCAAGAACTATACCCACTGAACCAAAAAGGCCGATTGCATTGTGTGTGTGTGTGTGTTTTTTTGATGTGAAACGTATGACTAAGCAGGAGGTAACGTAACAACATAAGCAACAGCAGTCGGCTTAGCTCACGGGATTGACTGCGTTTAGATATCTTTCTCTTTTTTACTTATGCATATACGATAATACATAGAATACGTATGTGCTGTCTATGCGTATACGTCGCGAGACTCTACGCACTATCATGCATGTTTTCAAATCTTTTTTTTTTGGTCGTGGGCAGAGTGAACTCTGCAGCCAGTGGTCCTTCGAGTACCTCACTAGAAACCGTCGTTAAACATTACTTTGGTGGGGACTCTATAAGGCTTCTCTGCTACATCTGTGTCTTTTCCGTACATCTCCCGTCCACCTTACGGTGATTAGGGGCTCGGGAATCTTAAGCGTCGTTTTCGTCTTTTTCTCCCAGCATCGTCCGGATTATTTTTACACCTCTTGCGCCTCTTGTCTCACGAGGAGACCTTGCTCAACTCCGGGTCATGGATTTGCTCCAAAATTTTTTTGGGGTCTCCTAGTACCCAATACTAAAGCTCTCTGTGCTTAGTTTGATCTCATGGGTCTTAGGGCCCATTTTTCAGAGGATTTTCCACATTATAAAAAAATTTTTGTTATTTTCTATATCGATATAGAAGTACTGAAACGAAAAAGTGCAACGATAAAAAGTTTTAAAATTTTTATCGTTGAATTGTTTTCGCTTAAGTGCTTCTATATCGATATAGAAAATAACAATGATTTTTTTATAATGTGGAAAAACTTATACAAAATGGGCCCTAAGACCCATGAGATCAAACTAAGCACGGGGAGCTTCAGTATAGGGTACCAGGAGACCCCAAAAAAATTTTGGAGCAAATCCATGACCTGGAGCTGGTGTGGTCTCCTTGTAAGCACAGGAAGCTTCAGTATTGGGTACCAGGAGACCCCAAAACAATTTTAGAGCAAACAAGTCGAGGCCATAGCAGCCCTCCCTACCGAAATTTAGAATAATTTGAACAATATCTACAAAAAAATTATTTGAAAAAATTATAAAAAACTAAATTTATTTGCAAAGAATGATAGTGTAATTCTTGTTTTTATGTAAAAAATGTTCACATAATTTGATCGTACTATTTTATTAATACCCTCTTAATTTTTTCAGAACAACATTTTCTGTTGATCCAGATACTCATATTGACAGCTTAGAACAATCAGAACAAGTGGTATTAGAAGGAACCAGTAAATGGTCATGTAAAATAGCTATTACAGGTAAATAATATTAAATTCAAGGCAAAAATAATCGACCTATCAACCTCTACGACATTTAATTTGTTACTATGTCTAGTGAAATATGTTCTCATTACGAATAAGAGCGTCTTCTATGATTTAATAGGCTGTTACTTTGGTCTAGTAAAATAAATCTTCATCAAATTTTATGTTAAAATCGTTCAGGAACTATTCTGATTTAGATCTTTTGAAAATCGTTTTTTTATCATATTATCGAATCGTTTTTTTCTTTTGAGAATTACTATTTCAACATTTGGAACAAAAATTTTAATTCTAAGTCAATCAAAATCAGAATTAAGAGCAAGCAAGTACACAGTTTGATTGCAAAAGAAATCTTTGAACGGCTTAGTGTTCATGTAATCGGGGTCCATCCTGCAGCAAAAAATACTTGGCAAGCTCTTCTGAAATTTTCAATATTCATTTCTGACGTATGTGTCTATTGTTGAAATCTGTAACATTTTATGACGCTTTGAAATTGGATGAATGAGATGTGTTTAGATAGCCACCAGACGCGCATTTAAAATCATTCAAAAAATGATTATAAAAAATTATTAAGAAATATTCCATAAAAAATTTTAAAACATGCAAGAAAAAGCAAACCAAAGGCTGTGCGTTATTTAACTAGCTCCCAACAGCCAACAGCTCGTGTTTAATTAAAACAATTAATTTGCAACACCAAAACTGACACCTACTTAACCCAGCTGGTGTATCATTGGAAGGTTTCCTCGGACGTATGATGCATATAGATTTGGTCAATGGTATGTGTACTTAATTGTAAAATAGTTATAAGTACGAGATCAAAAAATCCAAAAATCGTTCGAAATGTTCGGAAAAAATTGGACGTATTCGGGAGTCATATTCATGATCGTACTAACTAATTGAATTTCGTACTAACAAATATTTTACAATTAAGTACACATACCATTGACCAAATCAATATGCGTTAGACGTCCGGGGAAACCTTTCAATGATACACTAGCTGGGTTAAGTGGGTGCCAGTTTTGGTTTTGCAAATTAATTGTTTAAATAACACACGAGCTGTTGGCTGTTGGGAGCTTGTTCAAATAACTCACAGCCTTTGGTTTGCATTTTCTTGGATTTTTAAAATTTCTCATGGAATTTTTTTAATAATTTTTCATAATGATTTTTTGAATGATTTTAATGGTGCGTCCGGTGGCTATCTAAACACATCTCATGCATCCAATTTACTAAGACATAATTTAAAAAGTAATCACTACACGAATTTTTTCATTACAATAAATAGAGAAAATAGACATTTATAGCGGGTATAGGAGACCAGTTGAAAATAGTTGCATAGATTTCCTCGTGGATCAGCTACGTGGAATCGATGCTGATCGGAGATGGATTATGCGTGGAAATAGCGTGGAAACAGCGTGAAACCAGCGTGGAAAGTACATCGATTTCACGAGGACAGTTTATAGATTCCACGAGGAAAGATCATAGATTTCATGTAGATTTTTGCTAGTTTATCCACGTGGACTTTCTTAGACGATCCACGAGGATATTTTGGTCATCGAAAAAAATGAAAAAAAGTTTCTCCCGTGAGTAGGAATTGAACCGGCGATCTTTTGATTCCGAAGCTGATACTTTGGCCACTGAGCTATCAATCAGATATATCCGTAATTGATTTTAGGTGAATAATAAGAAAAAAATATAATGAGAACAATCGTTTTTTGCCAACTTTATTCAAAATTTAACGAATTCAATTTTTTAAAAATCAAAAAAAAACGAACAAACGAAATAGAATATTTTTTACAACTACATTTTACTATAAAACAGGTCAACTTATATATCTGATTGATAGCTCAGTCGCTAGAGTACAAGCTTCGAAATCAAAAGATCCCCGGTTCAAATTCTACTCTCGGGAGAAACTTTTTTTCATTTTTTCGATGACCAAAATATCCTCGTGGATCGTCTAAAAAGTCCTCGTGGATAAACTGGTAAAAATCTACATGATATCTATGATCTTTCCTCGTGGAATCTATAAACTGTCCTCGTGGAATCGATGTACTTTCCACGCTGTTTCCAGGCTATTTCCACGCGTAATCCATCTCCGATCAGCATCGATTCCACGTAGCTGATCCACGAGGACATTCATGCAGTTATTTTCAACTGGGAGGTAACAGTGACGGGGCTTATAACATAAAGAGATGGCTCTATCGACTTACGAAAGTCCCTAGATTTATAAAGAGCACCTATATTCACTTTGAATTGTTTTATTCATTTGCACTTAAATAATTATAAAAGAGTCGATATTAAATAAGCAATATCTTGCGATAAAGTTAAAATTTTTTAATTCTGATAATAGCATTGAAAAGCTAAAGAAAAATATTCATGAAAACAAAAAATTAACTTTTTTAGAATTCAGGTGATTTATCCCCCTAAAAAGTTTTACTTTTTATTTCAGTTATATGTGCTCAAGGATTAATAGCAAAAGATAAAAGTGGCACTTCAGATCCATATGTTACTGTACAAGTAGGGAAAGTAAAGAAACGAACGAAAACAATGCCTCAAGAATTGAATCCTGTTTGGAATGAAAAATTTTACTTGTAAGTAATCACATCTATATATTATTTCTCAAATTATATGAAGATTTCAGCTTGGACCACACTATTATTTAAATTTTATTGCAATGAAGCTATATTGTACTCATAGAAGCGGTACAATATCCTAACACATTTTGTTAATTCGGTAAGGTTACCAGTCAGAATTTCCATTCAATTTTATCTATTCATATCTCAGACGGTACAACACATTCAGTTGTCATATAACAAATAATAAAGTCTCAAAAAAATCACCATATCACCTAAGAATACCGTTTAAATTATAAGCCGCTAACTACTTTCGAGGTTGAAGCTTGGATAGGAATAATAGCTGTATCAGTTGTTTATCTTCCTTCTACAGCTAACTGGAATGCTAAGCATTCATAGTTGGATTTCAGGCTACAAATCCTTACACCTAGTAGCTGGTCTCTTTAGCCTGGAGAAGACTGCAGCAGCACGATGACTTACGAGAGTCAAAGGTACGACCGAACGGGGGGATATAACAGCGATGACAACAGCAACAAAACCTACACTATTTACTAGCAGAGCATGATTGCATCTCTGACACCCGTAAAACAGAAACCGATATCACTATATACTTATCTGTACTATTACAAAGCAGCCAAGAGATCTGCTTATAGAATCAAATACAAGTAAGGCTCACAGAAAAAGCTATATATCAGTAAATAATCAAAATTTTGGAGTTTATAAAAATGCAATCAAAAGGGGACAAAAGATTCTACTTGAATTTTAATAAATTTTGTTTAATCATTTGTGTAATTTTTATAAAAAGTCTAATTTGTGTTTTTACTTTCTGAGCAATGTTCTGTTTTTTTTTAGTTTGATTTCTAAGATCAAGGTGATTGTTTAAAGTAAATGATCCGATGAAAAATCGTAACTATAAACTGCTCTGAAGTTTCTTTTATTGAAGCCCTAGCAGATAGCAAAGTCGATTAGGGCAGGATTTTTCTTCGGATTTGTTGACCAGTATGTCAGATCGCTTATTGACACGATTTTTAAGCTGTTTTTGATTATTGACTCATGTAATTGCCTACCACGGGGGTTTGGAATTTGCGAACGAGAGCCCTTTGCGTTGTAATCACCGCCGGGTATAAATCGGTGACCCAGCTTTTTAAAAAATGATGAAAATTGTTTTATTTCGACAGCGTGACTAGGTAGTCAATAGATAGCTGAAAATACTATAGGACCTTTGCTATCTTTGAGTTTTACGCTAATAGTTTGAAGGAATTTTTTTTTTTTTTTGTAGTATTGGATAAGATTGATTGGATAAGTTGGTCGTGATTTTATTATAAGAGCAGTGTCTCCGCGCACTCTTTCTCTAATATATTGTATATCGTATATGAGATAATTTAGGATTTTCAAGTTTAATTTTTTGTTGAAATGAGTTTCTGATATTAGCACAATATCGATATTTTTTGTCAAGAAGATTTTTAGTTCTATACTTCGTTGGGCGAGTCCGTTGGCATCCCAGCATCCTATGACAAAATTTTTCTTTTCCATACTGACGTCTATTGAGCTATCATTTTTTCCAAGTTTGCTCATTGCCGACTGATCATTGTTACTTGTTCCCACTGGCCTAATTACTACTTGAAAGTAGGAGATACTTTTGCAACTAACTTTCGTAAAGAAGTGTCTCTTGGGAGGACATTTTGGGTGTTCAATTTCTTTGGCGCATAAAGTTGGAAAGAGTTTTAGTTGAAGTTGTTAGCAAACAGAGCATAAACGTTAGGCCCACAGTTTGCGAATATAACTTCGTTGGTTTCATGCTTGTGACGGGGCACAAGGTAGCTAGGCATCGAGCCGCTAATTCTCGCATACCTTGCGCGAGCATGTGTGTGCGTGTATGTTTTTCGCGATTTGCAGGTCCATGCGGCGACAACAGCAGCAGCAGCGGCAACAGCGAGAAACGATGCTTTGGCACGTGCGACGGCGTATCCGTGCGAGAGAGACGGATAGCGGCGCGAGAGCAGACAGGCCGGCACGCAATAGATCGCGGCAGATTAGTCCGAGCAAGGAACAGAGCGACACGTGTGTGATTCGCACAGCAGCCATTTTTTGCGCAGAGTTTCTTTGCGATGTTATAGGCAAGAAGTACGAGGGAGAAGCAAAGTTGCAAATCAAGTTCAGTTTGTGCTCGTAGAAGACGGCAAGTAAGAGGCCGACGTGAAACACGTGTGTACTGTCGCCCAGAAGGGCGTGTTGTTTCGTGTGTACTCAAAAAGAGTTTGACCGTGAGGCAAGTTTCGCTCAGTCGGGCCTGTGCAAGCCAGTGCACAAGTGCAGAAACAATCTGACATCGTCGCCTAGACGTGGACAGAATAGCGCATCGTCGTCGCACGCAGATCATCGACACCCGGACGAGGGCCAATTTGTAGCCGAGAAACGTCGAGGTGCCGAAGATTTGGGGTTAGTTTTTAAGGTTATTTGCAAGGTTATGGGTCGCGGGCGTATGCTTGTGGGTGTGAGTTTGAGCTTGGCTGACGAGTATCGCAGCGTCGATAAGCAGCAGGCAAAGTACTGGTGTGCTTGTGTACGTTTGACATCCGGGCCGGTAGCATCAGGGCAGATCGCCCGCGGCAGAATACGAAACGCATCACCCGGATCAGTGTGCGAGTGTCACGTCGCGTCGGTACACGTACACTCGACATCGTCGCATAGATCACGCTCGCAGTATTGACTCAGCCGATTAGGATCTCATCAAAAGATACGATCTACGCGAGCGCTGAGCGCGCCCTTGGTGGGCAAAGTCGGAGATAAAGTTAGGTCGAACTTGTGCCTCGTCCCGTAATATTGTAAATTATTGCCCGTTGGGCTCAATGTAAATCATTTTTAAATAACATGAATAATAATTTTTTGCTAGATAAGAAAGTTGAACTTTTATTGAGTGGTGAACGCACAGATTTATATATAATTAGTCAAAAAAATATTGGCACTAATTCGCATATCATTTTAAATGAAAGCGATGAAGAGAATGTGGCAGGTCACATAACTAAAAAACGAAGATTAATAAATATAATGATAATTGATGATAGCAGCTTTAGATTATTTTGTGCACGTAGATAGATAAATAGATAGATAAATTTTATTTTAGCCAAGTTCCAATGGAACAGTTTGGCTTGCCAATACATTTTCAATACATTTAACGGTTTCAGCTGTAACGCAGACAGCTCATAAGGCGTCTAGCACAGAGCGATCGAAAAAATTTTTGTCGAACCATGTTCGACCATTCACAATCTTATTACTAAAAACATTTTAAATTCAAAAATACAAATTATATCTACAAACTATATCAGGGCGGGTTTTAAAATCAAAAAATTACAATGAATTAGAATAATACAACGATACAACGAGAGCATAAGTATACAATCACAGAATCACAAAAATCAAAAAAAATCACCACTGACTTCACCGATCTCCGGCAAGGTCAGCCAGTAAAGCCGCCTTGAAACCACCCTCTCTCTGATGCCGACGAACAGAGCCCGGCAGCGACTCCCATAAGGTCATCGATGAGCGCGAGAAGGACCCGGCGTATGCAGTTGGGATAGTAGTTCATTCGACTCCAAGTAGTTCATCACCTGTCTCGTGAGCAGCGTATCGAGGACTTTGGCAAGGTGGCACAGATTTGCCACTGGTCGCGTGTCAGATGGATTTTCTGTGTTCGATTTCTTGCTCAATGGTATAATGAGAGAGCGCAGATAAACCGATGGGTAGTGACAAGTGTCTATAACAGTATTGCAAATCCGTGTAAAAAATGGCATTATTATATGCAACGAGTCCTTCAGATATCTCATAGAGATACTGTCACAGCTTTGGCCCTTTGACTTTGAAAGACACGCGTGCATAGTAGCAAGGACCTCTCCACCGTCTACATGTCTAAATGCAAAAGGCTGTGCATCGTGTAGCGTTGGTGTCTCAATTACAGCAGCCAGCTCCTCATCCGTGCACGGCGGGTGTCTGCAGGTGACGGCCGAATAATGTTCCATTAGTTCTTGAGCCTCGAAGGTATGTAAAGGAGATCCGTCTCTATTTTTTGCTGTAAGTAGACCCATCTCACGCAGCGTCCTCTACTGTGCCGACTGACCACCGGCCCCATCCAGACGCCGGGAAAAATAGTCTTCTCTCGCTCTCGTACAATCAACCCTCAGTTGCTTACGCAGTAGTCTAAACTCAGACAGCAGAACCGGGCAGCGAGTGCGTCTTGCGTCCTTGTATAGGCGATCGCGCTCTCGTCTCTTGGTGTACAAGTCATGCGTGATCCATGGTTCCCTGTATCTCCTCTTGGTCCGCAGGGCAACAGGTGCCTGCTCGTCCAGGACAGCCAATATTTCGCCGTTGAAGGCATTAAGCAACGGCTCCACGTCGTCAGCATCATCAGGTATACGGGTCAATACCAGGGTCAGTCGCTGCATCAAGGCGGTATTAAAATCGCCGATCACCAGTCGGCGGAAATCACGACATGGTGTCATACGAATATCCGGCGGCATCGGGAAATTGTAGTCCAGGGTGAGCAGGTCATGCCCATTTATAAAAGGCGCTTCTGTTTGCCAGTATGACACAATCCTGTCCGCCGAGTCAACCAAGATCGCATCGATTTGTGAATCGCTTGTAGCCGTGTGATTCGTAGCGTCGTGAGGAACACATGCGAGAGAGCATTCGCTTATCATCCTCAATAGGTGCTGCCCGTCGAAGCCGTGGCCTCTCCGCAAGTTATAGTTAAAATCGCCTGTCACGATGACACTGTGGTATAAAGGAAGTACATCCTGTAGCTCTTGAAAAAACCGATCCAAACAATATCTTTTCGCCCGAGGCGGTTTTGAGTTCAAGTAGGAGTGACTCAGTTTCGTCGATCTCCTAAATCTGTGGTGCAGCGATAATCCTCGACTTTATTGTGCTCCGAATGTAGCACGCCATGCCACCACCAAAACGATATCTCTGCTCATCTGCCTCAACGAGGGAGTCCTGATCTTCTTGGTCCTCCAATGCTG